TTTTTGAGAAATTATATGTAACGAAGGTGATGAAGCCTGCCTAACCCAAGTCTGCAGGTCCTATTCCTTTCACGACTCCATCTCTCTCACGTATGTGGAATTAGCAAATGCTTTTTGCATTGACTGGTAAATTTTTGAAAGGTATACTAGCCTAGCTCTCTCACAAGGCAGCAGCATTTTGTTTGAGAGACTTTTTCTCTTATTTTAATGACTTCCAGAGAAATCCTTCCTTAGAGATAATCTCTTGTTGTTAGTTACTGGGTAGTAATGGCTAGAAAGAGAAGTCTAAGACAGCGTGGTTCTTAGCTTCTTAAAGCTAAGATGATCTTAAGAATCAGGCATAAGAGGCATCTGATAATTATTAGCTATAAGACCTTGGGGAGGATAGTTGTTTCCTAATAGGGCTAAAGAATTAATTGAGAAATTTTATTTAAAGGGCCTTCCACGAGGAAGTAATTAATGTTCACTTGTTTTCCCTTTTCCCCAACATTTCCATTTTCATTGATACCCAGTAAACTTCAAGGACTCTTTCCCCAAACTACGTATAATTAAAAGGTAAAAATTACTATGTGTATGAAATTACGCAAAAGCCTTTAGCAGAACCATGTGCTTTAGTAACTTCTTAGGTGATATTGCACGTTGTAGAATTAAAGGAGTTAGCATCCAGACAGACTAGATTTACTAATCAGACAAGTTCATCCACCATGGTAAAAATGTCATCTTGATTTAATGCTCTTGGCGCTCCCTTTTCTGTGGAAATTTTAACTTCTCCTTGAAAAACCTATCACACTTAATTTCAGAAGAGTTTGACGGAATATTTTATGTGTGAGGCGCAATCAGCATTGTTTGAGATAGTTAGAAGAGCTGATTTCATTACCATCCCACTGCTGCAGCAGCAGGGTACAGAGAAACAGCCAGGGAAAACTGCTAATCACTCAGTCCTTTTGATTGGCATCAGGTTAGTTTTATTGGCGATCCCGCTGAGCAAATCTGCACTGGTTGGCATGTCTCTCCTGTAGAAGAACTTTGAGACACATGCAGGAGCCCAGAGGCAGAAGCAGATCTTAAAACAGCCTCTTCTCCCTCTCTTCTGGTTGGCCAGGAATGAGAAGTGTTATGTCTGCAAATCCCTGGTCCCATTCAGAGAGTATCAAAGTCACGTAGACTCCTGTCTCCAGCTTGCAATGGGCGACCAAAAAGATCGGCCTGAAAAGAGTGCGAGAGCGCATTCACCTGTGGAAGGGAAGCCACAGCTGCAGCTGAGGAACCCAAAGGTATGCTGAGCACGGGGCGTGTGGGGCGGGGCCACCTGACTGACCTGCTTCCGGCCTGAGCGGCCACAGCTCTGTTCTGGCCTGTTTCTCCCCTCTTCCCCTCTCCCCTTCCTTCCTGTTTGACTTCATATAGGACAGACTTGTATTAGTCTTTTCAATTTGTACTTTTTAAAAATTATGTTTTCTCTTAAAAGTAATACATGCTTATTGCAGAACATAATAGAAAGTCCAAAAACAGTATGAAGAATCAAGAGGAAATGATCACCCATAATTTAGCTGCCAGTCAGTGCCAACTTTTAATAGCCTGCTCTCCAGTTTTTTCTATGCATTTTTAGTGTGATTCTCTCTCTCTGATTCTCCATGTATACACACACACACATACACTGTTGCTATACTATAGAAGTATAATTTTCTGTCTTGGATGTAAAGGCTTATTACTGTGTCGTATAAAGTTCTTAGTTTATTCTTAGACTTTTAAAATGTTAATTTTTAGACTTTTAACATGTTGATTTTAGACTTTAAAAGATGTTATTTTTGCTGGGTGCTGGTAGCCTCACACCTGTAATCCTAGCTACTCAGGAGGCTGAGGATTGTGGTTTGAAGCCAGCATGGGCAGGAAAGTCCATGGGACTTATCTCCAACTAACTTCCTGAAAACCAGAAGTGGCATTGTAGCTCTAAGTGGTAGCACTCTAGTCTTGAGCAAAAGAGCTCAGAGACAGTGCCCAGACCTGGAGTTAAAGCCCCAGCACCAACAAATGTTAACATTTGTATCCTGTAGATGGTTGCTTAACCATTGTCATATTATTGGACATTTATGCTTCTCTAATCCTCCTGGATCATAAGACTGTTTAAAACATTAATATGTCTGTACCAGCAATTATTAGAATTGACTGAATATAGCGCAGCTATTAGGCTGATAGATATGAACATTTTAAGGTCTCGAAACATCATCAAATGGTTTTAAAAAAAGACTCTTGACTCCCTTGTGTGGCCAGCCCTAGGGATTACAGGTTCTGGACCTTGATCCCTTCGAGGATGGAGGGGCTCTAGGCCTTATGATTAGAGATAGAGAAGGGCAAGACTTGGCTTAGGGAGCAGTGATAAAGCAGCAGCTCTGTATTCTAGCGCTGCTGACTTAGCAGTCAGTGCATACACTAAGACAGGAAGGCCATTTCGGTTAATGGTTTGGAAATGATGATTTGGAGTTAGGTTTATAGGTAAGTGCCTACTTAAACCAAGGAGACAGTTTATTCATAGAAACCACCCTGAAACAGTTCTTTTGTATCTTAAATCTCCCCAGACCCATAGATCAGAAGCCTACTATTCCTTGATAGGCTTTTGGTGGACTGGCTTAGCTTGATAGTAAAATCCATCTTTGGAGTCTATTCTTGGCATAGAGCTGTATTCTCCTCAGGACAGTTTGCTTTTTTCCCTTGTCTACCCTCCTTTATTAGAAAGCAAAAGACTTCCCTAGATCTCTGCCACCACACCTCTTTTCTTGTGGAATAAAAAAGGTGTGATCTGGCTACGGCAGTTGTGTTTTAGAGCCTTCCATGAGGTAACCTTTTCATCTATTTATCTCTGTCACAGGAAAAAGGCCAAAATGAAGGCCGACTCCTCACTCTTTTGGAACAGTCTGAGCACAAGACTGCAGGTGAGGACTCCAGGACCAATGTTGGGGCTGCTGCTAGCTCCCACTGTTTGTTGGGGCTGTGTGAATGTACTTCTGTACGAATCAGCCAGCTTTTGGGACTCAATCTAGGTCATCTCTCCCTGCGGAAGATGGGGAAATACCTTGTCTTATTCATCATGTTTTTCATTTCAGGCTTTATAAAGTCTAGGATCAGGGCTGCCTATTGAAGTGGGAAAAATAGCTCTAAATCACTGGGAAGTAACCCAGCCCCTAGGTGAACCCTTGCCGGGATGGGGTGCCCCAGGCCTTCAAGGCCATGTAAGGCCCATGAAATCATTTGGCCCGTGAAGGAACAAATATGCTACTCATGGCTGCCTGGCCGTGTTGATAATTGTATATGGCCCGTGAGTGATCTTGTTTAGTGCGTCCCCTGTACTCCTGAGGGACTGTAGGTGAGTCTAGTCTTTAGAGAACAGGTTGGTGAAGACCATACACCAGCGTTATGCATCGCAAGGGTGTGTTCAGTAAAGCCCTCAACATATTCCTTTGCATAGGTAAGCTCTTGATAGATGCCAGCTGCTATTACTATTGTTGCTTTGTTAAAATTTACTCCCTGCCAATGGAAGAGGAGCACTCTCTGGAGCCTGGTGAGATTTTCTTACCATCTCATTCTCCTAGATCATCTCCACCAAGTAGATCTGTGGTGCCTTCTGATGACTGCTAACAGACAGCCTCTCTAAGCCCACGTCCTGCCCACTCTCTAGATCACTGTGCCGTGAATCCCTGTGGGTGGCAGATTTCCTCTGGCAACTCCTTGGTGCTCAAATCCAGATTTATTCAGAAGTGGCTCGTTCAGAAGCCTTCATCTCGGCTTTTCTGTAGCCAAGCCTGTTGGATGCTAACGCTCACATCCCTTTGCTCTGAGGGTCAGGGCTCTTAGCTACTTGCACGGGCCTGATGAAAAGCAATGTCGATCAGCGAGAAGTGGTATGATTACCAGCATTATTACTATTCTCTCCTGACACAGATGCAGAGACGAATACCAAGTCTTCAGAAACAGGAACCTTGCGGTGAGTAGGGACATGCACTGAAATACAGCTGTCAGCATTTCTGAAAAGTAAGGCCTGCTCCGGGCTCTGTGTTAGAACGATAGTTAACATAGAAACACAGCGGCACTGGGGCTGGGAAGGTGGCTCAGTGGTAGAGCGCTTTCCTTGCATGCCTGAGGCCCTGGGTTCGATTCCTCAACAGCACAGAAGCAAAAAGAAAAAAGCTGGAAGTGGCGCTGTGGCTCAAGTGGTAGAGCACTTGCCTTGAACCGAAGAGCTGAGGGACAGCGCCCAGGCCCAGAGTTCAGGCCCCGTGACCGGACCCCCCACCCCAAAAAAAAAAAAAAAAAGAAACACAGCGGCACTAATGTGGCCTCTCTCCCCTTTAAGTCCAGTGTATCTGGGTTGAGAACAGGATGGGTAACTCCATTCACTCTCGGTGTTAAAACATATTGAGCAGAAGCTAAGTCTTACTCCTCTGAACTTCTCCATCCCCATTCAACCCTGATCTTCTGACCTGGATTTCAAGTCGCTGGAGTCCTTGTTGTCAGTCCATACTGTGCAGCTTTAAGTTATGTGATCATACCCAGCGCTCACCTCAGCAAAGGCAGAATGGTAGTACTTCTGGGTGGGAGTGTTCTCGAGCTTATGTGTACTGCTAATGTATTCCAAGCACGTGGTGCCAAGTAGGTGGGTGGTGAACTGAATTCTCCCCTTTCTTTTAGGTCGTCCTCCGTCAGGGTGGCAGAGGCAGGCTGCAGTGGAGAGCTGCAGCATTCCCTCACGCAGCTCGACTTCTCTGAGTCTCCCATCAAGTCCTTTGTTGCCATCTCAGAAACCACAGATTGCTTAGTGGACTTCAAAAATCAAGTTACCGTCCAGCCAAGTAGTCGGACACGAGCCAAAGCAGGCAGAGGAAAAAGGAGAAAAACCTGAATTTCTAGGGGTGGGCCGTGTTCGTTAAGCCATAGCAGCTTCCAGTTCATTGTTGAGCAAGTTTTGACCCTTCTGTTTTTACCACCAGCACCCACTCGGCATCCTGGTTTTTATGTTTTATATTATCTATACAGACAACTGTGTATAGTCTTCTGTTTTATAACAATCTGTTTGAATTTACGTATAAAGAACAGTATATTTATTTATGTTTGTATGAGATCTTATTTCCATAGACAGAGGTTGTCCGTTTTCCTTCCTCTGTGTTGTGGTGTTGGGGTGGGAATATTTCACTGGCAGGCTCATCAGTTACATGTTTCTGCACAGTTGGCACAACCCTTGTATTCACTTCATCTGTAGTCCACACTCCTGAACACCGCGTGGTCACTCTCTTTTTTTGGGGGGGGGTCCAGTTGTGGGGTCTGAACTCTGGGCCTGGGCGCTGTCCCTCAGCTCTTCAGCTCAAGGCTAGCACTCTACCACTTGAGCCCCAGCGCCACTTCCAGCTTTTTTTCTTTTTGCTTATGTGGTGCTGAGGAATCGAACCCAGGGCCTCAGGCATGCAAGGCAAGCACTCTACCACTGAGCCACCTTCCCAGCCCCAGTGGTCACTCTCTTGAGTATGGTTGTGACATCATATGTAAGTGCATCAGGGGCGTTGAGGTCCAGTACTTGTTCTGCCGTCCCTCCCGTTCAGTGGCCTGCAGTTTCATCTTGCTGTCCTCGCCCAGTTAAGAATTCTCAGCCAGATCCTAAGGCCTTTGAGACTTGTATCCTGCCATTCTTCCCACGAATTTGTAAGTGAGCAGGCTGCTATTACTAATTTCGCTGCAGTTATTTGTTTTTCAAAATGGATTAAGCCAACAGTCATCTATTCAGACCGAGATTGATTCTCTTGCCAACAACGTTGTAACAGCAACTTCTGTTTCTGCAACATTACTAGAGTCCTGCACATCCACTCCGTTGCCTAAGATCTTCCCGCACAGAGCGGTCTGAGCACACTCCAGAGACCAGAGGCTCTGAGATGGCAGAAGTAACTGCCGCTGACCAAACAAGGGTACTCTGAAAGCTAGCTTTGGCCCCAGCTGATGGAACTTTTAATGAACTACGAGGGGAGATGACTGTTGACCTGGTAAGGATTTTGGTCCAGAATAAATCAACACACCACTCAGTCACCCCTGACTTCCGACCTATCCTGTCTAGGTGTGTTAGGCTGGGGGGAGCTCAGAGGATGCTGCGGAGGAAGACGCAGCACTGGCACTAAGACACTCTGTCCTTCCTGCTCACGGCTCATTGCACACCAGCTGTTGCAGTTCAGAGTAAGAAGGCTGCTCACTGTCTGTTTCTTCTACAGAAAGTGTCTTGCTGTTGGATGGCACTGATCCTGTGCCAACATCACTATATATATATATCACCATATTTAACAGCTGGGTTTTTGGTGTGTTTTTTTTTTTTTTTTCTTGTGCTGGTACTAGCGCTTGAATTTAGGGCTCAGCTTTTTTTTTGCTGTCTCGCTTGACCATACTCTCACTTCCAGCTTTTTTTTTTTTGTTGTTGGTTATTTGAAGATGAGAATCTCCAGATTTGTCTGCCCAGCTAACTTGTGAACTGAGATTCTCACATCTCAGCTTCCTGACTAGCTAGTATTACAGGCCTGCACCACCAGTGCCTGCTTATAGTTTGTTATGTTTTTAAACAACTACTGTGGTCCAGACAATGTTCGTCCCATTATTCCCAAGGCAATCCTGAGAAGTAGGTGCTATGATCAATTTCAAATATGAAAACAAAGGCTCAGAAGAACAAATAAAGTAGTGATACCACTGTGCCTGTAGACAGGTAGAAGGGAGGTGTTAGGTTTTGACTCTAGTACTGATTTTCCTGGTTTTCCTTCTAAGGAAATGTTTAACAGGTGTGTGCCATCAGCTTAATGCACATGTCTGTCTCATTACATGGCAGTTTATGAAAGTAGAGCTCTATAAGCAGGGAATCTTGGGTGGTGTTTTTGATTTTGTTTTTTTATTTAATGGTATTGGGGGCTGAATTCATGGCTCTGCACTTGCTACGCAGGCACCCTACCACTTGAGCCACGCCTTAGTCTTTTGTTTTTGTTTTTGCCTAGGGTCTCACATCCATGCCTAGGCCTCCCTTGAACTGAGAGCTGCGTCTTTACCCTTCACAAATCGCTAGGATGACAGGTGTATGCTCCTGTGTCTAACTATTGGACACTTGTTCCGTGGGCTGGCTTCAAATTGTGATCATCCTGGTTGCTGTGAGCTGCGGCACAAGCTACTCACGATGACCAGCCAAGTGTGCTCATTTCTGTGTGAAGATACACAGAGGCAAAGTGCTACCACTAAAAGGTGAATTAGTTGGCTTAAAGTTGAGCCGTCTCTAGAAAACACAGGTCCATGTTAGGAGCTAGACCACAAACCACAGATGGAATTAGGAGCTAAAAACAAGCCAAATGAGGAGCCATGCTCCCCACACCCCCTCCGCCATCTTCAATGAAGGGTGCTTAGCTGTTCACAGTAGTCTTACGCTGCAGTGTGTTGGTAAGATAGTGTAAAGTGTCTCTGGTCAGCCCACGTGTGCACGCTGCTTCAGATTCAAGCTTCCTTACCCATTTAATGAGAGGAGCCACCCAGAAAAGACTTCCAAGGATGAACGTAATGTGTACAAAGCACTATTATCTGGCACACGAAGTGTTCAGCTAGTGGCAGCAGTTGCGGGTAATGCGACAGCAGTTTTGAGTGTCGCAGGCAGCCTGGCAGTGAGCGGTAGAAGGGCTGGAGAGTAGAGGAATGGGGGTGCAGCTGTAAGGGGGGGAGCATTTTTCCAAGGAGCGAGTACTCAGGAGGAGCAGCCTTACTACCCTACCACCAGCCTTCCACGGAGAGCTTGAGTCCTGGGCCTGTGATGCTCTGCCGGCACCCTTGGGTGCTTCTGAGTGATAGGAAGCAGCTGTGCCCTGCCAACTCACCCGCGAGCTTTCCCTCAGCCTCGTGGCTGTGCTACTTCATCCTTACGGCAGTCGTCCAGTGGAGGCTGTGTGGGGTCCACTTCCCTGGCCAGTGACGCATTCATACTTCATACCCACGGGGTCCCAGGCAAGCACCCATGACTTCCACCCCTCCCTGTATTGTTTTAGTTCCAAGACTGAGACTCAAACTCAGTACCTGACACTTGCTCATTGCCTAGTGCTCTTCCAACTGAGCCATGCCTCTAACCCCCAGGGTTGGTTATTTCTTTTCTTTCAGAACCTGTGGCCTTCTCTTAGCTTATATTGGCACAAGCTAGACATGCCAAGGAGACAGTGCCCTGGGGAAGCTGGGGGATGATAAATACCTGTTTTTACCCCTCAGTAGAATAATGAGGTGCATTCTATTTTTTTGGGGGGGTCGGTCGTGGGGCTTGAACTCTGGGCCTGGGCGCTGTCCCTCAGCTCTTCAGCTCAAGGCGAGCGCTCTACCACTTGAGCCACAGCACCACTTCCGGTTTTCTGATGGTTCATTGGAGATAAGAGTCTCAAAGACTTTCCTTTCCCAGGCTGGCTTTGAACCACCATCTTCAGATCTCAGCCTCCTGAGTAGCTAGGATGACAGGCGTGCTTTGTACTCTTCTCTGAAGTATCCCCTGTTGGACTCGCAGCAACAGCTGAATTATGCATATTGTATTGGCTTGCTACTTGTTTCCAAGTCCCCTGCTCAGGACAAGTGCTAGGACTAGGTAAGAACTGGACTCTTGGAAGTACAGTTAGCACTTGTGAAACTCAAGAACCTGAGACGTTCTTCCTGCCTTCCACCACCTAGGCCAGCCATTGTACTCACATCACCCTGCTCCGGGCTCTGTCCTTGGTCCTGTAGGGGGCCCAACTCAGAAGTCGACTCCTTGAATCGCCTTAAAAACATAACTAAAGGCTCGAGTCTCTTGAGAAATTTAGACCCAGGGAGTCCTAGAAATGCTTGTTGGGGGATATCCTCATCCTGGCTCGGGACAGCAGAGGCTGGCATCAGTGTGGGGTGGTTGGTACCCAGTAAACTACATCAGGACGGATGTCTGCCCTGTTTTCAGGCCCAAAGCAAATCTTATGGAGAAAGTAATGGCCATGACTTAGACATGGCAAACCAAAGCTCAAGAAGTGAAGAATGGGGCTGGGAAGGTGGCTCAGTGGTAGAGCGCTTGCCTTGCATGCATGAAGCCCGGGATTTGATTCCTCAGCACCACATACACAGAAAAAAGCCGGAAGTGGTGCTGTGGCTCAAGTGGTAGTATACTGGCCTTGAGCGCAAGCAGCTCAGGGACAGTGCCTAAGCCCTGAGTTCAAGCCCCAGGAAGGACCAGCGCGCGCGCACACACACACACACACACACAAAATGAAGAATGGTGCTCAAACCACTGGAAAACGGGATGGGATTTGAACCTGTGTCTGGCACCAGAGCTTATGCCCTGAGGACCTCAGGCTGGGGTGTGGCTCAAGTAATAGAGCACTTGCCTAGCAAGTTCTAGGCCCTGGGTTCAATCCCTCTGTACCATGGGAAGAAAACAAACTGAGGACCCCATGTCAACGGGAGGGTTGTGTGGGCTTGTTCCTGCCTGTGAAATAGGCTTTGGCCTTTGGTTGATTGTGGCCAGTGGGAAGCTAGGAGAAGGGAAGGCAGGCAGCAAGTAGATTGCTGAGTTCATCGTCCCAGGGAGATGGTGGATGAGTGGACACATCTGAGCAGCGTGCTGAAAGGAAGGCAGGAAGAGGTTACTTATTTCCTCTCTTACAAAAGTCCCCGACTGTTGGAGCTTGTGGAAGGGCTCTCGCTGAACCAAAAACTAAATAAATAACCGATCACCTATGCCATGTCAGGCTAGAACCTGGGCCCGAGGCTTCAAAGGTGAATAAGAAGCATTATCCGCAAGCCCTGCGGTAGATACACAGACACAGATGAGCTTTTAATGAACTTGTAAATGCAGCCGGCGCAGCAAACCCAAGATCCTGGGGAGGGACGGAGGGGGGGCTAAGTTGTGTAAACCCAAGATACTGGGCTTCCAGCTGTGGCCAGGGCCGGGAGGACCTTGTCAGAGTTGGGCTTCCTACTGCTGCTGCTGACCGAGCTGTAATTTAACAGATTGAGGACAAATTAGATGAAAAGGCTAGAAAGGCCAAAGGGAGAATCATTCCAGATAAATCAGCATGAGTGAAGACAGCCCTGTGTCTGTGGGAGGCCTGCAAGATGTACCCAGAGTCTAAAGGACATGGAAGACTTGGGGATTGCTGACTGAGGGCCTCACACATCTGGCTGTGGCTGTAGGAAGTTGCTCAGAGCCCGGAGGGTCTGGCTGCCCAGCCCCACGGTGGACAATGTTAGCTCCTATCCGGGTGCCATCTTGTAGGCTCTGTCATATTTGGATGATGGCCTGGTGATCTCTGGATATATTTGATCATCCAGTCACTGCCACTGATGAAGCCTAAAGTTTGTTAAAGACTCTGCCCAACGTGACAATTGTTGGTGTGCCTAGACTATGCTTTCCATACGGTCTGGAAGTTGCATCTTCTGTGTGTGAGCCCTGCTGGTGCATGTGCTGACCTCTTTAGTCTCGGCCTCTCAGCTCGCCCTGTCCACTGGCCTGCAGCGTCAGCTATCCTCTCTCTTTTTTTTTTGGGGGGGGGGTGTTGGTGGTGGGACTTGAACTCTGGGCCTGGGCGCCGTCCCTCAGCTCTACCACTTGAGCCATAGCACCACTTCCAGTCTTCTGAGTGGTTTATGGGAGATCAGAGTCTCATGGATGTTCCTGCCCAGGCCGGCTTTGAACTGGGATCCTCAGATCTCAGCCTCCTGAGTGGCTAGGATGACGGGCGTGAGCCACAGGCGCCCGGCATCTCTTCCTCTTGTGCTTCTACGTTACCTCTTTCTTGCTCACGGGCCCCATTTCAGAAAGTTGTCTGTGACCCCTCTGCATTTCCCAGTCTCCCACCCCTTTCCAGGGGTGGGGGGCGAGGCGCCTCCTCCAAGCGCTCCAAGTGATTGTGAAACCCACAGAGCTCCCAGCCTCACAGAGGACCCTTGACCTCCGAGGTCGGGCCTCCAGTCCCCCAGCGGCCAACTTACACCATGGTCCCTGGCCTCCCCTGGGCTCCTTACAGCAAACCTGGAAGGAAATGCATCTTCCTGCATCAGTGGGGGGAGGAAGCTGTGGCGGAGGAGGAAGGTGGGGCCTGGGGAGGTTTTTCACTCAAGGCATGCCTCCGAGTTTCACTTTTGGGGTACAAAGCAGGATCGCTGTGGAACTTCACCTCTGGAGAGAAGAGCTCAGGCCTCAGGATCGAGACATCGGTCACACCGAAGTAAGAGTTTCCTCTGTCTTGATCCCTGCATTTATCGTCCCCAGCCTCCTCCCTTCCTCTTCCTCCTCTTCTCCCTTCCCCCTCCTCCTCCCTCTCTCCTCTTCTGCTCCTCCTCCCCTCCTCTCCTCTTCCCCTTCTCCTCCCCTCCTCTTCCTCTCCTCTTCCTCCTCCTCTCCTCTCTTCCTCCTCCTCTTCTTCCTTTCCCTCTCCTCCTCCTTTTTCTTCTTTTTTTTACTTTTTGGTGTCAGTACTGGGGCTTGAACTCAGGGCCTGGGGACTGTCTCTTCCTGTTTGCACTCAAGGCTAGCACCCACTTTATTCTTAGCTTCGTGTCTAGCTTTATGGTGGTTAATTGGAGACAAGAGTCTCATGGAGGGCTGGGAACATGGCTCAGTGGTAGAGTGCTTGCCTTGCATGCAGGAGACCCTGGGTTCGATTCCTCAGCACAATATAAGTGGAAAAAGCCAGAAGTGGTGCTGTGGCTCAAGTGGTAGAGCTGAGGGACAGCGCCCAGGCCCAGAGTTCAAACCCTATGACTGACAAAAATGTCTCATGGATTTTCATGCCCAGGTTATTTTTGAACCATGATCCTCAGATATCAGCCTCCAAAGTAGCTAGGGTTATAGGCATGAGCCAGTGCACGCAGCTGATCTTCCTTCCTTCCTTCCTTCCTTCCTTCCTTCCTTCCTTCCTCCTTTTTTCTTTCTCTCTTTTTCTTTTCGGTCAGGGTCTTGCGTATGTAGCCCAGACTAGCCTCAAACTCATGATCTTCCTGCCTTAGCAGTCCAAGTGCTGGGATTACAGGCATGCCCCACTACACCCTCCGCTTTGAATTTCACCAAGCTACTAGCATGTACCTATGCTAAGAGTTACCATAGAGGATGCCCTGGTGACTCAGACATGTCCAGGTTATGGGGTTAGCCCTTCAGATTTGGGGAACAACTTAAACAGAGACCAGAAAGCCGGAGGCTAGCCTCACAAGAGGAAACTAGGGTGGAGGACTTGGCCACTGTGAAGAGCTCTGGACTTTCTGTAGGTGGAACCATCCTACTTGAAGTTTGCTTCCTTCTTTTAGGGAAGATAGAGGTTAAGAATCACATGACAGGGCTGGGAAGGTGGCTCAATGATAGAGTGCTTGCCTAGCATGCATGAAGCCCTGGGTTCGATTCCTCAGCACCACATGAACAGAAAGAGCAAGAAGTGGCGCTGTGGCTCAAGTGCTAGAGCGCTAGCTTTGAGCAAAAGAAGCTCAGGACAGTGCCTAGGCCGAGTTCAAGCCCCAGGACAGGAGGAGGAGGAGAGGAGGAGGAGAAGGAGGAGGAGAGGAGAAGGAGGAGGAGGAGGAAGAGGACCACATGATAAAGAAAATCTTATTTTGGCAGACACTGAAATCAGAAGGGATAGGAGATGAACTGTATGAACATGAGCTGTTAGAAAAATCAGGCAGCAGTGGGGAGGGAGTGGAGG